TCTCTCTCTCTCTCTCTCTCTCTCTCTGTCTCTCACTCAGTCTGTGTTTAGCTATTGCTGTCTCTGTTTCACTTAATTGCTCAAATCTCCATACACAATTTAATATTCATACTTGCGTTTCATTCGTGCTGCTAATGTTGGGTCCGTCGGATTCATGACTAGCATAGCAGCAGCAGGAGCTGAGGCAGCAGCAGGAGCAGAGGCAGCAGCAGGAGCAGAGGCAGCAGCAGCAGCAACAACAAATCAAGTTGAGGATTACAAATCGGAATCCTTTTTTAATTGAAATATACATCGCATATACATATACATATTTCTATGGCCCGTGCTGTGCTCTGGCCTGCTCATTAATGCGCCGAGCTGCTGCTGTCGAGCTCAATTGATGCGTTTTTGATTGCAAATTTGTCGCAAACATATCGCTTGAGTGCACCAGCAGCGCAGCAGCTGCCCCCACTCCACTACCTCCACTGTCTGCCTGTCTATGCGCATTACTCATACGCCGCGTGGGTCGCCGAAGGCAAAAAGCAACTTAAATTCTACTTACAGCCAAATATGTAATAAATACGAGCTTAAAAAAGTTTATCTATATTTCAACCACACGCAGTCATGTGCCTTACACACGCACACACACACACACGCACAGTATATATGCTGTATGTGCGTACTGCTATTTGGCATATAGAGTAGCTACTGCTGCCTGTTTTTTTGCTGTCCCCCGGCAAAAGTTTTTGAAAGATGTGCCATCCCCCAATCCGGCACTTAGACAACTCGCACGTCCAGCTACCAAAAAGTTCATTTCGCTTCGCTTCGCTCCTCCCTATTTTTTTTGTCTCTTCCTTTCATTCAGCCAAAAAAAAAATATATATGTATAAGTAAGTGTAGAGTGTGTGGAGTTGAGTGTAAGTGTACTTTGCAAGAGCTACAGCCGCAGCTGCTGCCCCGCTGAGCTTTCATTAAATGCGACTATTCAGCGGCTGCAGCTTTAAAATTTCCGCCATCCTTTTTTTTTTTTTTTTTTTTTTTGCCCCTCTGTCAATATGCCCAAAAAGCCAAGCCGGACGCCGTATAAATTGTCGCAATCAAGCGCTGCATAAAGTGTCTCTCGCTCTCGCTCTCAACACGAAAAAAAAAAAAATAAAATAGAAAAAGAAAGCCGCAGGAAAGCGACAGCAAGATGAATTACTGTAAATTATCCAGTTAAAAGTTTTCGCTGAAGGACTTTCTAGTCGCTCGAGTGGCCGCCGCTGCGGCTGCTGCTTCTGCTGCTGCTGCTGCTGCGCTGCTGCGCTGCTGCGGCTACGGCTGCCGTCGCTGATTTAACGAGACGAAAAGGTAAAAAGTTGAGCAAAAATCAATTTCGCCACAATTTCACGCTAGTTTGCATAAAAGTAAGTGCTGGCTGGGCATACCTCCCGAGGCAGTAGAATGTACGTTAGATAAGTCTGAGCTGCTCTTGAATGCATATGCAAAGGGAATTTTCAGGTAATTTTTGTAATTTTCTATTTTTGTTGGTCCAAAAGGCAAATGTAATATTTGGGCATATGGAAATTGTTTTAAAAAAAAAGGGCCAAACTTTAAATACCTAAATATTCACAAATTTAAAATCAATTGTAAAGTTTGCTGCTATCGATTGGCAATCTATTGTGACTTGAGCAGTTTTTGGCCATTGTACTTGTTTAATATATAAATGAAAATTAGCATATTATTGCTGCTGCTTCAAGAATATCATATTATGTAAATTATTTATATGAATATTAAAATACCAAATGTATGGCCTTTTTGAGCATAGGCATAGGCTTCTTCAAAAATACCACAATATGTAAACTATATAAATGAATATAAAAATACCAAATTTAAGGCATTTTTAAGATTTACTAAAGTATATAGTTAATTTTTTGTCCATTTATATATTTTTACAAATTTAACAAGATTTTGTAAGTGTAAAATGAATAAGTATATGTTACGCCTGTATCCATTTGATCGCCCGCCATTCGAATTTATTCATTTTCTTATTCGAATTCCCTGTTTGCATATTTTGCACTTTTCGCTCATTTCTATTCGCATTCTGTGGAGAGTCTATCCCGCTCACACGCTCACAGCAACATTCGACACTACGTTTCGCTGCAGCTTTTTTGTCTCCCTCTTCCCTTCGGAGCGATAATTAGCGCAGAGCAGCGAGCAATGAGAGCAGCGCAGCTCGAACGCAAACGCAATCGGATAATGTTTTGTAGAGCTCTCAGATGTAACAAGCGCCGATTGGGCTGTATTCAGCCGAAGTAGACCAGTTTTAGCAGACTTTACTCATTGTTTTATAATGTTACATCACAATATTAAATTCCAGTAATGATATTTTATTGCTATAGTTTTAGCTTACCACTTAACCAGTTTAACTCTATCCCAAGCATCCTCATTCCACAATACTTTAATATTTTAAGTACTCCAGTGACTCACAGGTTAGTTGGATAGTCGTTTACAGTAGAAAATGTCTCTGGTAACAGCTGTCAGAGCTGGTTAAACATATGTGTAGATAGTTAGACTAGCTGCATATATGAGCATATGTAGTTGCTGCAGCACCTGGGCTCTCTGCGCTCTGCCTGTCAATGGCTGCTTTTAAGTTTCATCTCGTTTCGCCCATTGCCCACATTCAACGGGGGCGCAGCTCAAGCGAATATATATACATATTTCTGTTTATATATATATTTTTTCGGTCGGCAACATTCATTAATGTCAGGAACAGCAGCAGCAGCAGCCGCCACAGCCGCAGCGACTTCGTCTAGGATACAGCCACATAATGTGCCGCAAAACGCATAAAACACACGCGCACAAACACACACACCGACACACACACATATACCCACACAGACAAGTGTCGTCGTCGTCGTCGCCTGCCCGCTGTTTTATATAACGATTACGATAATGAAGCGACGCCGTTTTCAGCGGGCGCAGCATTTTTATACACAAAATGAGCCAAATGAATGGCAGCCACTAGCCCAGCGCACAGAGCGAGACAGAGTGAGTGTGAGAGAGAGGCAGAGAGAGAGAGAGAGAGAGACAGAGCGCGTCCGATTGGGCTTACTCCAAGGATCTAGTAGTAAGCAACGTCTGTCGTTGATGGCTTTTTGAAGTTCTCAACGCAGGCGGCGCAATGATTGGGGATTATGACGAATTAATGAATTCAGATTTAAATAAAATTACGCAGCGTGCCAGCGCCAGTGCCACGCCCACTTGTGGCCATGCACATTTAACATTTTGCTAATAGAATTAAAGTTTGCCGCCCGCCCCTCCGCCCACACGGTAACAACAGCAACATAATGAGCCAGCGACCCAGTCTGGCGTAATTATGATGGGCCTGGCCGCTGCATTGATAGCAGCAGCAGCAGCAGCGGTAGCGGCAGCGGCAGCAACAGTCGTCAGCAACTGTTGCCCGCTTAATTAACAACAACAATTGCAATGGTGCAATTGCAGTTGCCACTGTGGCAGGTAATTTTTGTCTCATTTGGGGCCGGGGCAACCTTCGCCTGATGGTTTTGTACGCGCATTGTTGCGGCATTGTTGTTGATTGTTAATTGAAAAACAATGTTGTGCGCTCCCACTCAGTCATGACTCGCCCTTTGCCCTTCTCTCTCTTTCACTCACTCACTCACTCACTCCCTCTCTCTGTCTCTGTCTCTGTCTTTGTATTTCTGGTGCCCGTTAAATGCAACTGCAAGTTGCATCGAGCTCGAGGTTCAACTGCGGCTTAATTAATTTTTATAAGGCTGTTGTTATCGTCGTCAATTGGGTTGCTGCTGCACTTTAATTACAATGCACAGAAGTTGCCTTAAGCTCATTGATTAAACTTAATCAATGGCCATAAGCAGCGCGAACAGGATCGCTGCTGGCACGGGGCATGCGGCAAGCGGCATGCGGCAGGCAGCTCATTAATGTTCGCTCGCAACTTTGACAGCCAAAGTGCAATTAGCGTCAGGGCCAAAGCGAAAAGTTGTCATATTATGATATTGAATAGCAGCAAGATGAAAGACCCAGCTACCAAGGAATGGTAATCGAGTAAGGAGCGAGCGAGACAGCCTGCGTGTGTGGGCGTGCTGCTGTGCGTGTGTGGGTGTGTCGGTGTGTGGGTGTGTGGGTGTGAGTGCGTGTCAAAAGAGCTGCAAGAGCATAAAAAGTGCCTGAGCTCAAGTAATTCAATAGCCAAGCAAGATTTAATTAATAATTTATATTCTATATACAAAGGTAGCCGCAGCTCTGATTAACGAAGCTGTAAAAGCGCGAAAAGGTTGCATATCCTTGGCAGATCCTTTACGCATTACCGTTACAACTGGGCGAAGAGTGGATCTTTGGAGTCTCAGTTCTCTTAATTAACTCTTTAAAAGCATCTCGGCTAATGTCTTAGCCAGGCCACAAGTTTGGCCAAGCGATTATAAAACAATTAGCGTCCAACTCTGGCTCAACTCTATTTAGCAATAAAAATCTATCAATTAGCGTATGATAATAAAGCAGCATGTCTATATCTATCTATCTATCTATCTATCTATATATATATGTATATATGGGAAAGTTAAAGAAAGTCTGCTGCAGTTCATCATTGAAGGCAAACTGGCCAAAGTCTGTTCGCTTAGTTAGCTGCATAGTTTGGGCTGGTTTTGTCAGTCAGTCAACTATCATTATAAGTTGCCCTTTGCGTTTGCGTCATAATGGCCAAAAACTTTTGCCCAGAGCTCTGTCGAGTGTCTCTGTGGGTGTGTGTGCTAGTGTGTGTGTGTCTGTGTGTGTGTTGGCCATTGTTGGCGCTCAGTTTTGCAATTAGCAACAGTTTTGTCTGCTCAGTGCTTTTAGTCGGCCATTAATTGAGTTGCGCGCACTGATAACTTACAAAAAATAAGAAAAGTGAGAGGTGGAGAGATGGAGAGAGAGAGAGTGAGTGAGAGAAATAGCGAAAAACAAAGAACAAAAATTTGCCACAACTTTTTATTCATTTTCTTCTCGCATTTTTCTATTTGCAGATCGAGGACGCAATGCTGATGTTTGACAAGCAGACCAATCGGCACAGAGGTGAGCACTGAAACGATAAACGATAAGCGATAAACGATAAACAATAAGCGATAAGCGATAAGCGATAAGCGTTAATAATACAGTTCGTTATAATAACACACATTGACTCGATTCCGGCTCTTGTTTTTGTTGTTATTGTCGATATATTCTTTCATTTTTTGTGCTGCTTCGTTTCCGGGCTTTAACGATGCAGAAGAAGACGGGCAAGCCGGAAGTGCGAACGCTTCTGCTTTTTCATTTTTCCTCTTTTTGTTGTTGCGCATTGCGCTGTCAATGCATGACAGATACCGTTACAGATAGCCGAGCACAAACAGAGCTAATACAGTTTCATTTTGGTGTCTGTAAAAACGTGGCATTAAAATGGTCAGGCTAACAGCATGAGAGAGAGTGATAGAGAGAATGAGAGATAGAGAGAGAGAGAGCGAGTTAGTCGTAAAGATTACCTGTGCAATGCAACCGGATATAGCCCGCACATACAGCTCAGCGGGCGACTGAGTGGGCGGGGCTGGGACTGAGACTCGCTGTCCGGCAAAGGCTTAAATCTCCAGCGCACATCCGCTACACGAACTTGTAGCGCACGAGTGAGTCCGTTCTCTTCTTTTTCGGCCATGGGCGTAGGCGTGGGTGTGGGCGTGGGCCGTGCCGTGCCATGCCGGGTCGGCTGCTTGTCGTTGTCAATTTTGCTTATTAAAGTTTTAAATGACGCGCCGAAAATTCGCATTGCGAACGCCCATTGACATGTGACAGGAGGCGCAGCAGCTGGAGCAGCAGCAGCAGCTTCCACCTGAGACAGSCGAGGCACATTAAGATTGATGTGTCCATTTTGCAGCCGAAGCCGTACACGCCCACACACAGGACGACAGAGCGAATGAGAGAGGGGGAGAGAGAGAGACATAGTCGGCTAACAATGTCGTGGCCCAAAAGTAATTAGCCGCTCACACACACACACAGACATCCAGACAGCTGGACAGTCGTGCATGCATCAATAGTTGCCTCTATAGTTGCTCTACACACACACACACTCAGACAGCGCATGAACAATTCACACACACACAGAGAGAGTTCATGGCTGGCCTTGTTAACTTGCTGGCCTCATGTAGTTGGAGCCGCTGTCCAACCAAATTACGCACACGGGAATAAGGAAACATGATTTTTGCTTGTATGCGGCCCATAAAAAATTGTTGCATACTTCGGGGCGCCGCCGAGAGATAAGCAGCAGCAGCAGCAGCAGCAGAGGCTGAGGCAGCGGCAGAGGCGAACGCGACCCACAGAACATTTCGTTTAATTGGACGCTGGAGTACCGAATGCTGCATCATGATGCAGTCATATGAAAAACACAAAAACTCAACTCAGAATCAGCAGGAGGAGCAGCAGGAGCAGCCGGAGCAGGAGCAGCGCAGCCTTTGCAAATGGCAATAAAAACAAGCAGCGCCCCATTTAAAAATTATGTGTTGCTGCAGCTGAACAATGAGAGAGGAAGAGAGAGAGCAAGAGGCGGAGGGTAGCAAGGGGGCAAGAGGAGCAAGCGGAAGAGGCGGCGTAGCGCAACAACTGTTCAGAGATAATGCATGAGTAAGATATAAAACTGCAAATTGCCAACGATGCAGATTTATTCGAGTATATAAAGCAGAAGACAGCGCCGAGAGAGGCAATAATATTATTAATTCTTTGGCCTGATTGCCAAGCGCAATTCCCATTTCAAATTAAAATCAAATAAATAGCTATTTACAGAGCAGCAGCAGCAGCAGCAGCAGCAGCAGTAAAATTTCCAGGAATTATTTTCAGTAAAAAAAGAAACAGTTAGAGCTAAAACTTGAGTAGCTTTCAGTCCAGATCGAGAAATGAATTTAGTAAATGAAATTTTCATGTAAATCTCGCATGTGTAACAAAAACTGAGAATTCTGAGCGAACTCTGGCTGAGCTGAAGCAATTTTACAGCTCAATGTTTATAGTATAACAAATTGATTTCATTTTTAATTCAGTCAACATTTGCTTTTTCCATTCGATATACTATGATTCATAATCCACTTGGCGAGCTCGCTGCAATTTTACAACAATTTGCCGAAGTGAAAGCGGTTTGTCCTTGATTCGTGCACAATATTGATGAAGTATTTAAATATCCTTTTTATTTTTTATTACTTCCAATACGAACTCAAACTCAAATTTAAACTCAGATAATAGCATGACAGCTAAATTGTCAGTGGTTTTCTAGGTTTTCTCTTCTTCTTCTTCTGCTTCTTTTTTCTTTGGGTTAAAAATAGCATTTAATGTGCATAGCCTCGTTTTAGTGATTTCCCCATGAATATGACATGGAAGACGTTAGACTGCTATTGACATGACCGGCAGGACACGGCAATTTCGCAAATTACAATTGCCTAGGTCGATCAGAGTACATATGATGAAATATGCAGGCGTTGTTAGTTAGCCAAGACCAACTGCCCAACTTCACAGGCCACACTCAGCGAGTGGCCCAGCGACCCAGCCACGGACAGCAACATGGCCAACAGCCAATCGAGCCGCCCCCACTCGAGGCGACGCTTTCGCTGCGAGTCAATAGAAAATGTGTGTCGTTAATCAAAGGGTATTAGTTGTAGCTCTAGCCACAATGACGACGATGGCGATGGCGACTTTTTATACAAGCCGAACGATGGACGACCTTTTGCCATGAGTTGGACTAGCAGACACTCCAGGGCTGCTCCGACTGCTCCGATTGCCCCGACTACTCCGACTGCCCGCCCGGTAGCTGCCTACTGGCACTTGCGATATGCCTGTAATTGCATTTTATCGATCCAAGTGGAGAAGGTGCCCATCTTCTAGCGTACATGTGGCAATTGCCAGCGTGTGCACACACACACAGACACAGACACACAGATACGCTGGCGTTCAGAAACAGGACAGCAACTATAATAAAGAAGCGAACGAAAAGAAAAAAAATGAAGCAGGCGAGCAAAGACGTTGCTCGGGCTACACGGCAGCAAGTTTGTTACTCATTCATAAATCATGTGTGCAGCGACAGACGGACGGACAGAAAGACAGTCGACACAGACAGACAACACAGAGTGTGCGAGAGCGAGAGAATGAGAGAGAGAGAGGCGTACAGCTAGTGAAATGTAAGCCTGGTCACTGCAACTTGCAACGACGTTTTTCCAACTAACGGCTGCAGTTGGCCCCAAAAAAAAATAAAAATAAAAAAAATAGAAAAAGTAAAACGTAAGCGATTTGACGGGGGCCTCGTGGCAGGGCAGCAACGAAAACTATATGAATATGCCATAAAACAATATAGGCTGGCACACTAACATCTGCAACAACAGCAAGAACAGCTGCAAGTACAGTAGTCACTAGCAGATGGGCAACTAGGCTAAAGGAACGTAGAAGAGGCAAGGAAGTGGATTGTGAAAAATGCAATAATAAATAACGGAATCATCTACTTGACTTGAGTTTTCTTAACTCAATTTTACAATAGATACAAAAGTATTGACGGATATGAAAGTATGTTCAGTATCGATAAATCTTCTTTATATAAACGTATATATATAAGGGCTATGACAGGAATTAGCTATAGAAAAAATAGTGTGTATTTGGGAAAGAGTCAGTTTTCTCAAGATGATAGTTAGAAAGACAGATAAAACTATGGACATTAGACTATCCACTTGAACGAGATGCAGTAAAGAATGCGGAGACACATAACTACAAAAACGAGCATAGGATCATAGTATAAGAGTAGAGTATAAGAGGATAAGCATATAGAGACTATAAGAATAATAATAATACAAAATAATAATATACGCTAAGAATATTCATAGATGCCAGAGGTGGTTAGAAGTGCTTAAACTAGATGCTTAAATATTTAATATTAAATGTGATTACAAAAGTCGAGCAAAGCTGAGCTAAGTTTGCCACACAAATTGATCGATAAATAAAATCAGTTGCAGAAATGCAAATGAAAATGTTTAAGAATCATATTTCTATGCGCATTGCTGGCTATTGAGTTGGAAATGTTGCACTTGGCACAATTACTACTGTAGCTGATATGGGATACACGACAGCAGCGGCCTGAACTATGCTATGAATTTCATTTGGCAAGCCAAGGACATGCACAACGTGCGCCTAAACAGCCGGTTGAGGAGGATGAATGGGGCGATGGGGCGTAGGGCTGCAGTCGAGGTGTTAGTGCGGGTGCGGGTGTGGTGCGGTGGGTGAGTGGAGCAATAGCAGTTGGCGGTTGGCAGTTGGCAGTTGGCGTCGCCAGCCGCTACTAATATTAAAATTGAAAATTTTGTAATTTTTCTCGTTTTTTGGCAAGCCGGCGCTGCGCAGTCATAACAGCTGGCAGGCAACCTGCCACGCGCCCTCCCCACTCCAGCCAGTGTCTCCACATGTGTGCACACACAGAGCTACATATGAGAGTGTGTGCATATATGGCATATCTGTGGCCGTTACTTGGCAATAACATGCATGAGTGTGCAATTTGTGCAGTTGGCAAAGGCATCGTCAGGCACTCGGCGTCCTGCGGGAAATTTTCGACAGGTAAAAATGGCAGCAAAGCAGCCGCAGAATTAACTAGCAGAGCGACTCCAGCCGCCGGGGCATTTTTCATGCCAGCCGCGCCGCATTTGTTGCCGGCAGATACATTTTTGATTGAGTTACGTGTGGGCGGCCAATGGGGCATGGCAGGGCATGGCGTGGCACGAGGCGAAGATGGCGAACAGAGCAGGAGGCCAAAAAAGAAATTGCTGGCTTCATTTGCTAGCCACTCGGTCGACGCTCGACTGATTTATGAGTGGTCAGAGGCAGCAGGAGCAGAGCCAGCCCAAAAAGGAGCCCCCAGCATGAGCGGAGGCGCAGCGCCTGTGGCAGCAGCTACCAAAGTGGCAACAACTACGTGCAACTTGCAACGTGCGCTAATTTTATATAATTAAAACAAACACAAACACAGCAGGCACAGAGTGAGTGGAAAGGAGAGAGAGAGAGAGAGAGGGAGGGAGAATGAGTAAGTGGGCGAGAGAACGCTGAAGACTCTCAACGCCCACAAGTTGTTGCAAGCAGAACTAGAGAGAGAGAATGGGAAGGAGGGAGCGAGAGAGAGGGGGGACTGGAGAGTTAAAGGAAAGCAGCACATGTCGCTAATAAGCCTGCGTGTTTACTGTTACTTGTTTCAACTAATTTGTCAGCTACGCCCAACGCCCGCATGCCAAGGCAAACACACACACACCCACACACACACACAAACACAGACAGAGACAGAAAGCAAAGTCGATGTTGGAAGGCGTGGCATGAGGTGTCTGCACTTGGCCTTGCTAATTGCACAGTCCTTTTGGCCCGGCCAAATCTCAGACAATTGCGCTAATTGAAAAACCTCGATAAGACCAAAGCGAAAGCTAAAAGCAACAGCACACACACACACACAGACATCGACACACGCACACTAACGAAAAACATTTTGGTTCTTTGTTGTCCTTGGGTTTCCTTTTTCATGTAAACAAGCATTACAAGCTAGGTTAAGTTAGCATACGAACTTGAGATGTTCCACAAATATATAGCTAGAACATCGTAAACAACAATCTATAGCTAATTTTCGATAGTTATGTGTATTTTATGGCATATCTAAAGAGTTTCTTTTCTAAAAGCTTTTCTTTTAGCTTAATTACTCCTAAGTTATTTTTAATAGTTTCGATAATATCGATATCCTGTCCATGTTTAAGTATCATCACTAACTAGATCCACTCAATGAAGCCAACGATTATGAAAGGCTATATAATGAAGCATATTATTCATAGAGATACTTCTACACTGTACAAAAACTATTCGATCATCTCTATGCTATAGATTTCCAGAATATTCAATCTAAGAGTTTCGTCTATAATCCATCAATTTTTGGCTATAGCATTCAGAAGTTATGTTCTGTAATCGATCAACTTTTTAACTCATCTTAGCTTGTTTCTTGCTTTTAAGTAAGAAACCATTCAAAAGTTATACGCAGCTAAACTCCTGAGTCAGTGCTGAACAACGTTCGCTGGCATATTGTTTATCGATATTTCGTTAGTGTCAGCCCTAGCCAACGCAGCATAGTTTTGAACTGGCATTTGGCCCACTCTCGCAGCAGCCTATAAAAGACTCTAAATTTTGGCAGAAATTAACTAAAAATTTCGGCATAGAAATTGAATGGGGGCCGTTGAATGCGCTGAATCAGCAGTTCCATGCAGAGTAGTTAGTGGGGCGTTGTAGTAGTGTTGGTCAGGTGGGTGGGGGGAGGGAGGTAAAAACTTCATGACAAACTTATTATGCACTCGGCTGGGTTATTTCCAGAACTGGGCAAAGTTTGCTATGTAAACTGGGAGCTGGGCAGTGTTTGAATTACTCTGCCCAGGCGGCACTTGAGTCCCTGCCGCATATTGAGGTCAGCCAAGGGGCGCATGGAGGGAAAAAGCGGGAGGTGCAGAGAGGTGGATGGCGGGCAGCGGGTGGAGCTGAAGTGGTGCAGAGAAGGAAAGACTGTGGCAGTGGCAGTGGCCTGGCTGGCAGGCTGGCTGGCTGGCTGTCTGGGCTCGTCTCAGTCTCGACACTTGAGTAAATTATTTAGCCGCTCGCACAAAAGCATATTTCGTTCAATTTTTGCAGCTCTTAAACTTGTTTGCCCATTCTTCAACTTGCCTTGACTCTCCGACTCAGTGACTCTCCGACTCACTGACTCTTTCGGCTATTTCAGCTCTCTTATTTGTTTGTTTGTTTGATTTTTTGCAGGTTTTGGCTTCGTTACATTTCAAAGCGAAGATGTGGTAGACAAAGTTTGTGAAATTCATTTCCATGAGATAAACAACAAAATGGTAAGTGGAGCGAAGCCAAATGAAACGAAATGCTGCGCCGTTATTCCATATATCTAATCCCGTTGCTCCCCAGGTCGAGTGCAAGAAGGCGCAGCCCAAGGAGGTAATGCTGCCGGCAAATCTGGCCAAGACACGGGCGGCCGGTCGTTCCGCTTACGGTGAGTTGGTAGTCTGGGGCAGCCACGCAAATCAGGCGACGGCGACGGCAACGGCGGCGGCGGCAACGGCTGCAGCTGCTGCTGCTGCTGCCGGCACGCCCGCCGCCGCCCTCTTGCCCAGTAGTTTAACCGCTGCCGCCACCGCGCTGCAGCAGCAACAGCAGCAACAACAGCAACACCATTCACACCACCAGCAACAGCAACAACATCCACACACACATCCACACTCACACTCACACCATCATCATCACCACCAGCAGCTGCTGGGCGCCGCCGCAGCGGCCGCCTCGCTGCGCTACACGCCCTACCCGCTGCCCACGCACATTTCAGCCGCTGCCGTGGCCGCAGCGGCCGCAGCTGCCACGCAACAGCAGCAACAGCAGCAGCAGCAACAGCAGGCAGTTGCTGTGGCCGCCCAGCAGCATCAACAGCAGCAGCAACAGCAGCAGCAGCAATCGCTCGCACATGTTGTAGCCGCTGCCGCCGGCGCACCTTCGCTCTTGCCGCTGTCCAATGCCACGCCCGGCGGCGCCCCCTCGCTGCTGCAATACGCAGCTGCTGCGAATGCCACACAGAACAATGTCGCCTTGGCCAATTCGCTCCACGCGGACGCGGCTGCTGTGATGGGCTATAAGCGCCTGCTGGCCGCCGCCGCCGTCAGCAACGGCCTACGGGCCACGCCCACCCTGGGCGCGCTCACGGCGCCGGCAGCGGCGGCCGCAGCAGCCGCCCAGCAGGCGCAGCTGCGCCAAAATGCAGCCCTCGCCGCTGCCCACTATCCGCTCAGCGAGCTGCTGGCGATGCCCGCCAGCCTCGAGACGGCAGCAGCTGCCTCTCTCTATCAGCTGCCCGGCATCTGACCGCCAAGGCCGCAGTGAGCCGCCGTCCCGCGCATATATTAGAGCAGGCCCAAGGGCAGGCGGTTTCCAATCAGCTTAATGTCTGATATACACACACGCACACTCACACACACACACACACGCACACAAATTTGAACTCTCATTCCGTCTCAATGTCCAAAGCGCGAACGTGTCGCATTACTTATACTTAGGTCTTAGGTCTAAAACGTGTATGATTCTCCCTAGCCATGTATGCTCCATAAATATACATACATACGTACATACATACATACATATTTAAATGTACATACATATCTACATACATTACTGTGTCTAATCGATAGGACGCGCCGTATTATCGCGTATTATCGATATATGTTATATACTTAATTTCTAAAAATTTAAATTAGCGTAACGCATTCGTTTATTTCTCTAGAGCTTAAGAAATTTTGTTTTAAGATTTAGGCTTAACAAAAAAAAAAAAATTACTAAATGAAAAAAATGAACAAAATTAATTAATTAAGTGCAGTTCCTAGAGAGCTGCATAGATGTTTTTGCTCAACGTTTCGATTACCTATCGATGCTTAGTGTTAACTTAGCGACGAACGTAATATTATACATGTAACAGTAAAACGTAACTGTAAATCAAGCTGCGTGTAAGTCTTAGACATTGTACAACACTAGAACGTAAGAACTGAATATGAAAATATGATGAAAATTCAAATTGAGAAAGAAGTAATGTCAAAAAAAGGAAAACAAAGAAAAAGAATAAGAAAAATCAATCACATATATATTTCTAATATTTGTATAACTAACATTTATCAACTCTATATACAATATATACTATATATATATGTATATTTATTATATATTCCAACTTCAGCTCATACAAAAATAGCTCTTCAAAATGAATAACAACTGTAGAACCGAATATAATTAACGTTTACAATATAATAATGTCATAAATTAGCAAATGTATCAAAATTAGCTTTTAAGTAAAGCCGCATTTAAGTAGGCAACAAATAAAGCCGACAGGCTTACGCACACACACACACACACACACATAAGAATCTGTGTGTATGTGTGTGTTTGTGTGTCAAACATTTTAGTTAAACAATTTGAAAGTCGCAAACGTAGTGACCGAAGCTGGCATTAGATTGGCAGCTGCCTGTCTCTCTCAGTCTGTCCGTCCGTCCGTCTGTWCAATTTGAAGATTTCACAACACTGGTAAATTGACAATGTCAACTGAAGCGCAAAAGCCTCTCACAGAATTACCAGCTGTTGGCCAATTAATAACTGATGCATACACACCCACACATATACATTTATATATATGTACATCTACTTAGACATTAATATTTGACTTAAACATGAACTTTAGCTATTGATTATATACATACATATATACATTTATTTATATATATATATAAATGAAAACATTTACTTACTTGCTAAGCGCATTAAGCGCCTCAAGTTAACTGCTAGCTAATACTTGAATGTTTATGCTCGTTTAGCTGAGGTGAAAGAGGGTATATTGGGTTGGTCTGCCACTTTGTCCGAGTCTCTGAGCTCAAATATTAAGTATACGCCCAGTGAGTGCAGAACATACAATGAAAATCCTGCTACAGTTTATCTGATAGCTGAACTTAAAAAGTGATAAGTGCATGCCCTTTAGGGGCGTGGCTTGTTGGCTACTCTAATTGCTCAGCTACGCAACGAAAATTATCCAAATTTTACCGTAGAGACTTATAATAGATAAACTCATATTGATAAATCGAAAAACTCCAAAGTTTCTTGAATAATTTTGCAACTTTTTCATTCATAAACGAGCATTATATAGTCGGCTATGCTCGACTTGCAACATTCTTACTTGTTGTCCATTGTAATRGTGTACTCATACGTATCTAAGACTAAGTTCAACAAGACAACAACAACAATAACAACAACAATAGCTACAACAACAAGGACTTCGCACAGGAAATGATGCAAAATGATGAACGAATAATTGATTGATTGATTGAATGATTGATGACAGCCATGGAGCACAAAAAAAAAACAAATAAGAAAACAAATTAAACATTTCATTTAACATTTTTTCAACTAGCTGTCAAATTGTTTTTTGCTATTTAATTGTTTACGATGTTTTTTTTTTTTGGTTTATTTATCAACCACTTTTTTTTTGTAGTGCATTTTTTCTCATTTCCTCTTTGTCAATTTGTGAGTGTGTGTAAACACTTTTGAATTCATTTAATTAGTTGTGGGCCAATGAAACGCAATAGACCTCGGGAATCTGTGACATTTTGTAGAAATGCGCAGCGAGGCTTTAGAAATGCTTTCATGTTCGCCCCGCCTCGAACAACTACACTAGTGAACAAATTAACTAATTTACAGTCTAGTATTTACATTTTAGCATAGTATTTCAATGTGTGTTTTTTGTTTTCCTTTCTAGTAAACAATGTCTACGTATTTACAACTATATTTAAACAACTCTATATAAACATATATATAACTAAGTGTTTAGAATTGTGTCATATCTATTTATATATACATTAATAGATATATATATATTTTAATATCGATGGTACAACAGATGTAACTCTCTATATATTCTTAACTATAGCTCAGCAAGTCGAGGCTGTTAATGGAAGAAAAAGCTGCTCCAAAAAAAAAAACATTTTAGAATCTGTCGAACTCTCTAACAGCAGTACTTACATATATATTAGTATATAGTATATAATAATCGATAAATGTTAATCGATTATTATTTAGTTAACACACACAATTAGATCATTAAGTACACACACACACACATACATACACACAAACACTTTAAGAACTTATATACTACATATATAGTTGAACAGACTTAGACTTTTATCGAATATATAACTTTATATACCAACATATATATCTCTTTGATCTATTTGTTTTCTAGGAGTACTCTTAGCTCTTAACTCAGCGCACTTATGAATGTTAGTAATTGATTTATGTTTATGCCTCTCTTTTTTTCGTGCTCTCTCTTGTTTTTCATGCTCCATATTTAGATAACATCATGTGGGGTCTGGGGACATTGCCCGAAGGTAAGCATTTGTGACGAATAGCCCAGACATAAGATCTAGCCATAAGTACCGATGGGATTTGAAACAATTTTATCTAACTGAATTTCCCTCTCTCTCTCTCTCTCTCTTTCTTCCTCACAGGCTTTCCCGCAGCTGCGTATGCTGCTTATGCCGCTGGTCGCGGCTATTCGGGTTATCCCAGCTTCGGACTACCCTATCCAACTGGTAAGTCAACACTCTATCTCACTCTCCCTCTCACTGTCTCACACACACATACATCGTCACACATACCTTAACTATTTATAATATATATGGTCATTTAGTGTATCCTATGCATATGTCGTAAGCCCCGTGTGCGTATGACTCCGTCTGTATGTGTGTGTGTGAGTGTGTGTGTGAATGTATTTGGCGTGCATTTTGTGACTACTCTAAAATTAAACTAAAGCTAAAGCCTAAAGCCTCTCCCGCATTGCAATTTGTGTTAGTTGATATGACGAAAGGCCTTGTTTAACTAGTCAAACAATTAGCTATAATACATATACATATATACACACATATATGTAACATGATTAATTAGCATATTATACTAACTATCGCTCGAAAACTTTCGTTTGTTATTTATATGATTCGTTGTACCCGTATCTTTCGAAATATTCGTTTTTCTTCTATGTTTCTGCTTTTCTTTTTCTTCTTACTCTATTTATTTTTTTTCTCTCGAACCTTATAGCTGGCGTTATGGGCGTAATGCCGGAGAATCGTATACTGATCGGTGATTATTTGGTCGCCCCAACGACAGCCAGCAGCACGGCCTAGAAGCAACTCTGACTCTATGATCTAAACTGATATTTTTTCGATCGAGTATTATATCAAAATCTGAACTAATAAATCTCAAACCATCTTATAACTCTAAAAAGTAAAAATAAAACAAACTCTTGAGCGTTCGTCATATCAATGCACAAATCGTACTCTAAACTGAAATTAAAATCCCAAGCGAAGCAGCTCCTACGATATATTTGCATTATCTAGGCACATTCATTGATGCTGCTTGGCCTTGTGCTTTCCCACATCACGCCACACGCATACACTGTGCAAAAATCATGATCCACAAACACTTTGCTAGTACTAGAGCCACCTCGCCTCTTCATGCATTCCCATCTTTAGTTTTGGTTCTTATTATTGCGTTTTCTTTAGTTTTGCTAGGGTTGGAACGGATGTTGGCAAAACATTTGAAACTACTCAAATCCGACACTAGCCAGAGTTATCGATAAACGATAAACGATTATCAGGGTAGAGAAAGATTCAGAAAACAGATTAAGAAACTTGTCCCAAAATTCACGAATGCAAATATTTGTAATATCATTCGTCCCAACCCTAGCCTAGTCACCCACTCTCTCTCTTTCTGTGTCTCTCTCCCACTCTCTCTCTCTCTCTCTCTCTCTCTCTCTCTCTTTGTCTCTACATCTTGTGTCTCATATGATTTTGTAGGCTTAACTATTTGTGGCATCGGTAGAAGTTATGGTACCACATGTAGCACGAATCCGAGCCGCAGCAGAGCCGCCAATTGCACCGCTGGCGGCGGTGCAGCAGYGGCTGCCGCTGCCGCTGCCGTGCACAATCAGCCCCAAACGGGATACCATCAACACCATCAAACGCTGACTTTGCCGCTGGCCACGGCGCTGACAGCGCGCACCGCCGCAATCAAATCCCAATTTCTGGGCAACATCAATTTTTAATAAATACGAAAGAAATAAAAAAAAATGCAAGAAAAAGAAAAACCCATAAAGGCCAGATAACCAGAGAGAGCGGTATAAACGACTAACGAGAACCAGTTCAAGCTAAGCGAGAGGCCGGCGATATTGTATTTAATATTTCATTTGCCATTTTGTTCTTTTTCTCTCTCTCTCTCCCTCTCTCTCTCTCTCTCTCTCGCTCTCTCGCTTGGTCTCAACGACAATACGCAAACCAAACCAGAAAAAAAGAAAGAAATTTATATAAATCATTTGTACTGTGACAAGTAGGTACAGCAACAACAACAACAACAACAGCAACAACATGAGCAACAACAACAACAACAACAATTGAAATTTATTAGCTTAGATTGTTTCTGGTAAAAACAAATATTGAATCTATCAACAAAACCAAAACCAAACAGAATCTAATAAAGAACTTATACAACTATTTGTAATTGCAGACCCATACATACAAACGAGAATACATATATATACATACTATATATATAATCACATTTAGTGCTGCTGGCGCATATATGTGTGTACACACTGTAGCTGGCCCTCACATATATATACATATATACCATAGCGGACACTTATTAGACCTTTACTAAATACACATACTTAGCATTTGTTTGTACTGCCTAGATAGAGGAGCCCCTATAGAGCTACTAGTTACGTATACCCAATCTCTATATACACATATATCAGGCGTATCTATAGTGCAGTTCTTTCGATTTACTATATACATACATACATATATACTCGATACATATGTAGACCTTAGGCTAAACGTAATCGCATAAACGTGTAGAGAACCCCGTAGAGATATGACACAACACACACACACATACACGTACACGTACATGCAGTAAACACTCCGTATATGCTACCATTTGTAATTTCCATTAATTCTCATTAAACAACTCCCATTTGGTATTATTTGTAAAAAAAAAAAAAATAAAAATAAAACTATTTTACAGTTAGCGCATTTAAATGCAAATTTTTTATTTGTAGTCCATCTGCATAAATTAGTGGGAAACCCAAATGTCGACGATATACGAAAAATAAACAAATGCACACACACACACACACATAGACATACACGGATGAGAAACCCATTTAGATAAAAAGTACAACATTTTAGCAGGCCTGTCACATGTATGTGTGTGTAGCATCATATTATTATCCTTTAATTAATTTCCTGCATAATGTGAATTTTGTTTTTCTTTTCGCATTTTGCATTTTATTTGCTTTTCGTTTCCCCTGAGTTTTTTAGATAATCAACGAACGTGCACAGATTTCTAGCAAAAGTTCATTAATTAGTTGAATTTTCAGTTCCATCTCTCTCTATCTCTTTCTATCTCTCTCTATCAAATAAATGAAATCCTTCCAACTTCATATAAACATACCCATATAAACATTTATCGCATATCCTGCATACAAATTCCTTCATCGTTGTTGCATCTGAAACTGAAACTGAATCAACAACAACAACAACAACAACAACAACAATTTCTACCAAAAATGAGCGAAAAACAAGTTTTTATTGAAAATCTCTATATATGAATAAAACATTAACTATATACATATATATATACACACACATTCATATTATATCTACAAGAAAACATTTATATATCTAAAAATAAGTTTAAAAATATTTCTTTTATACACAACAAAAGAAAAATCAAATCAAAATCTAATTTCATTTGTACAATAATATTAATAATGATAATGGAAAAAAATCAATTTTTAAATGTGACAACAACAACAACAAAATCAAACAAAAATGAAATACAATATTAATGTCCATCCATTTTCGAAGAGCAAAGTTTAAGTTTGATGAAAAATGCAATTTTTCTAATGTCCTTTCCATTAATGTAAGTTCGTTTACTTAGCTACCAATACACATATACACGTATACACACAAAAGAAACAAATACAAAGGCAGAAAAGCTGTTAATTAGTTAATTGAATGCAACAAGATTTTTGGCAAAATTATAATATAAATTATGAAACAAAAGGACAAAGCAGCAAAAACTGCTTGAAGGTATCTTAACTTACATATACATACATATATATATAAAATGCTTGCAAGTTATTTATTAACAAACACACACACACACACACATGCATAACTAACTACTTATATAACACACATTCACACTCACACACACACACACACGCATATCTATGTATTTTACACGTATATACTGTGATTTATAAGAAACGCTTCAAACCAAAAACAAAAGCAAACCAAGAAGATGAAACGAAAATTTGCCAAACGCATAATTCGAAATTGCTTATGCAACAACAACAAAAAAAAAAAAGTTATTAACTAAATAAATGCACAAAAAAAATGGAAATAAAATCCGCAAAAAAAAAACAAAGCCAAGTTTATGATTTTGTAGCCTTAGCTCTTTAGACTTATTAGTGTTTGAAAGCGAAAAGCAGCAAGCAAACGGATCAACGAGGCGTATGCGCAATATGAAGCAGAGGCAGCAGTAGCTGATGAAGGAGATGAAGAAGCAGCTGAAGATGCGCCACAACTGCCAACAAGGTCAGCTAAAAATGGTCAAAAACTGCATAATCCCACAGCATAATCTCTCTTTATATATATATACTCTCTCTCTCTCTCTCTCTCTCTCTCTATAAACATATATATTTGTACGCAAACACATTTTCCAATTATTAAATGTAATGTTAGTTTGTTAATTGATTATATTTAGCTGAAGTCTTAGTGAAAAAAAAAAAATAAATAAATAAATAAATTACTAAATAAATCATGGGCAATCGAAACTCAAATTGTAAACTGCTTGCGCGGCGGCAGTACAGTAGCTCTCATATGTATTCTCATACCTTCTAGATAGTATACATATATAAATATGTGTGTGTAGTCCTAACCAATCTAGAAACTATAACTAAACTAATAGTAGTTCATACACGAAAATCAAAAAACCAAAAACAAACACAAAAAAAAAAAAATTATTTGTAAACTAAATTTAAGCTAATTAATGTAGCAACTAGTCTTAGTCCACACTAATTTAAAAAGCCAATTGTGTAGTGTTGGAAAATGGAGCAAAGTTATATAGCTCATATATCTATAGTCATAAGTAAACATATACATACTATATATATCTCTATCTCACTCTCTCTCTCTCTCTCTCTCTCTCTATGTTTCTCTGTATTCATATTTCTTTTGTTATTCACCTAATTTAAGCGTAGCTCTTGAAATGTGTTTTTAATCAGTTCATGTTTTGCGTTTTTGCGTGTCTCATCGACTTTGTCCTCCTCTTGCCTTAGTGTTGGTAAATCGTTCAAGTTTTGACAACGCTGCCATCTTGTTAAACAACAAACCGTGCTGTTTACCAAACCACAAGTTGAACAACTACGAAAAATACCAGCTGCCCCTGCCGGAAGCCCATAACAACAACGGCAACGGCAACGGCAACTGCAACCGTCGAAAGAAAAAAAAAAAAGAAAACATAGCTATATAGATGAAAGTAAAAACTTATTTATTTAGAAAAAGGCAGTTACCGCTATTTCTATCTCTATAGCCAGCAGCTTTTGCCCGGTTGCTAATGAAAACAACATGGCGCTCAGAAAAAAAAATGAAAATGAAAATAGCGTAAACTAAACGTAAGCCAAACTTGATTGGCGCCACACACACACACACACACGCACAGGCACACGCACAGACACACGCGCACGCACACACACACACTAACACGCACAACGAGCACCATAAGCAAACGTCTGGTATAGCCACGCCTCGTTACGTTACGTCACGTTACGTTACATCAATTTTTGTGTTTCCGCAGGAAATGCAACTGCTACAATTCCAACCCCACCTCACATCCCCCCCCCCCCTTTCCACTCTCTCTCTCTCTCTCCTATGCGCCTTGCCTGCTAGCCCGTAATCCGTTAGCCATAACCCGTTACTTCTTAGCCCAATGTTGTCTATGCGTCCTGCCCCAACCCGTTTCCTATTCCCCCATTCCCACACCCCACAGCCCCCATTTCCACTTCCCACCCTCTACCCCCTTGGCCATGCCCATTCTGTTGTCATTTCAATATTGGCGCTGGCGTATTTTTACTTGCTGCAGCAGCTGTGACCGTGACAACAACAACAACAACAACAACAACAGCAACAACAATGATAACAGTAAAAGCGCCCAAAAAAGCAAAGTGCGCCGCAGCCAAGCGTTCTAACTGTATTTCGTTTCTCTGCTGCTCCACCTCTTCGTCCTCCTGCCCGCCCACCATTCATAGGAACACAACAACAACATTCGTTTAATAACCCAGCAGAAACACTTTTTGTGTTATTTTCTTCCTCTTTTTTCGTGTTTTCATAACCTGCCTTCCAAGTTGGCTCTGTCGTGTAGTTCTCTTCTTTATACCCATACATCTATAACTATACTATATATAGCTCCATTAAATAACATTAGTTGTGGAATTTCGATTTGTGGGCCTCGGGTTTTTCCTTTACTCTATAATGCAGCGTTAGTTAATCGTATATATATATACTAAATAGTTTGTTTGACTTGTTTGTTCCACTTACAACATTCGAAAAGAAAATGATAAACAACTTACATTACCTAATACTAATTATAATCGTAAAAGTTTGATTTCTCTTATATATACCTATATACCACTTAGAGCTCAGTCGTTGATGACTTTCATAACTATATATGTGTATATTCCTAGGTATTTCTTTTTTATGTACCCAAACTCTTAACTAGTTGTCTTTCATTTGACTTGACCCCCATTTAATGTACAACTCTCGCAATCTTTTGCCACTTGCAGTTGATCTAACCAATGGGCAGCTGACCCCCAACAATAATACACCACTACTAACACAGGCTTTGTCAGGTAAGTTGCAAAAGTTTTGGTTTATAATGACTATAAGATTTGAATGGCATTAGTGAAAGTAATGAATGCTTTATGAGAACGGAATTCGTGGCTCCTTTGAAACATTAAATAGAAATAGATGACATTTCTTGCATTATAAAATATTACCTTAAAGTAGCTCTACTTTTACTCATCGAATATATGTCGCATGTCTACCTCGCCAATGAATTATGTTTCAATTCCATTGCATTTCTTTTTCACTGTATACTGTATAAAAATTCCACACAAATCTGTTATACCGTTAGCTACATACTCTCATTGATAGACTTCTACTGCTTCTGCTACTTAAAGTGTTTCAATTCCATCGTTTCACTTAACAAACTTCAATAGGCATCTCAACTGTATATTATACAATTATGGACTATACAATTATAGACAGCTTACGATACGTATGCTCATGGTCCTTCAATTTCAAATAGTATTTAAATTAAATCTTATATTCATGCTCAGGCTTCACAGACTTATACTGCGATCAATAGCTTATGCCTAATCTTATCGATAGGTTCTCGCATAGCGAGTTTATTTCCCATACCATTTCATATTTCAATCATGAATAGACATTCCCCTATATCCTATTTCAATAGATTCATACAATTACTGATAGGCTTACAATTCAATTGAATGTTATAAGCAAAGTGCTTCAGCTCCATTCATTTTCATCTCCCATATTAATGCATAAGTATATCTCAGTTATCTTTCCAAATCTCATCGAATTCTCGCTCTCCTTTGCTTGCAGTGATGAACAACTATCAGGCGGCTGCTGCTGCCGCCCACAGCTTCGGTCCGTCGGCCTCGCCTCATGCAGCGGCCGCCACCACGGCCACACGGCAGGGCTTTCCCTCTACCAACTCGCCCGGACCAACCATTGACATGTACAGCTCGGCCGGGGCCGACAATGTGGGCTACGTACAGGCCACCAGTCCGCAGCCATCCGGCTTTCCCATAGCCGTCAGCCGTGCCCCATTGAACTACAGCCCGGTAAGTACGAGGAGCCTCTCCACGAGATAATCAACTATCAATAGACGTGTAGGGGGGAGTGGGCAACGGAAAGGGGGCGTGTTTTGTCCGTTGCCGTTCATCGATGCCGACGAATGGCCGTCTCCGCCCCCCAAACACAAACACAATTAAATTACTTAAGCAAAATATATATATACATATATAGAAATAATTTAGCTACTTAGTTATTGCGTTGACCTCCCATAAATATATTGTACTATGTATTTCTCTTTCATTTCGTACAGATTTATTCGTTGAACTTTGCGATGGCTAATATATAAAAAGACTGATAACCCAAATAAAAAAGAAAAAAAGAAAACAAAATCCAAAAAAAAAGCAAGCAAAATAAAACAAGAAAACAAAAACAAATGCAAAAAGTATATACAATTATATATATAAATCGAAAAATATATATATACATATATACACAAATATATATAAAAGAGAAAAACGAAAAGAGAGAAAAAAGTAATATGAGTTATATAACAAACGCAGTTGCACAAGGTAGGCACACCAACAAAACTACAGCGTGTTTATTTTCCAATAACAATTTCAATTATTAATCAATCAAACTATATATTTTACCAAAATAGAAAAATAAATAAAACCAATATCAATTACATTTACGTTAACAAAAAATTTAGTCAAAAAATCAAATTAAAAAAAAAAAAGAATTAAGTAAAAAATCTATTTTTATGCACGTCACTCTATAAGCACAGTTTTCTAGGTCAATTATGATTTATATACAATATGTACTATATATCAAATATTTAATATAAGCGCTGATACTAACAAACATCCATCATAATAGACATACACACGCACACACACACACAGACACTCCCACAAACACATATTCATTACTGAAGCCTGTGGCAAAGTTTTTATGAAGAATTTTACGTCAAATGTCTTTATTTATTTATTTTTTTTTTTTT